GGCTTAGACTGATGACATCAGAGGCGTTCTGACTGAGGTCTGTTGGTGAGGAAGTCTAGCAGCCAATAGCAGAGGGGTGTATTGAATCCCAGCTGTTCCAGTTTGCCCATCAGATGCTGTGGGATGATGGTGCTGAAAGCTGAAGTCCAGGAACAGCATCGGGCCCAACTGACAACTGCTCAATAAAATAAAAAATGAAAAGATGTTTACTGTTGATTACTTGACTTTGGGCAGATTTATCTCTGCTCCTTGTCACTGAACAACTGTCACAACATTTCTGTCAAACCTAACAGATTTTAATACCCTTTAAACACACAGAGGATTATCCCTGCTTCCCTTAAACGCATCACAAAGCATCTAGTGTGGTGCAGCGTTTGAGTGCCGCTCAGTAAAGCTGTACTCTGCCTCCCCCGCCTGGATTCAGCTGTAAAACACATCTAATTGAAATGTGCAGTTCCTTCTATGGCCACCAGATGGCGGTGTTTCACCTGCTCACCGCCTGCAACAGGTTTGCTGCAGGACCTTTGGCCTTTAGAGAGAGATGGAAGGAGCAAACCGCCTTTTTAATTCGCTGCAGATGTTTTATTTTTTATTACTCGATAAGAAATAATAAACATTAGGGTCATTTTGACACTAAACTACCATTTCACTGTATATTTTTGCATTAAATAGTGGATTTTAAAACTTGATAAGGTATTCTTTTTATTGTGATCCCCTAATTTAGTGATGTTATTGTGAATATCCAGAACATTTAACATATTAACGCAGCAGCTGTTCCATCCTTTATGAAGGTGAGTCATACCTGACTGGTCCCCTCTGCCTGGGAAATTAATTAGTGATGCACAATATCCACAATTTCAACCGATAATTTTCTGCTTTTCAGGACCAATCCTGATCCCGATAAGTTCATATTCGATATAATCTCTGCGTAATCTGGGGCTTGTGGTGGATGAAGCTATGAAAAACGAATTAATTATTAGCCCTGGTTCATATAAGAGAAAACAAGATGTTTATTTTTTTCACGTCATCACACTAAACTGTGTTTTTTTTGCTTTAATTAACAGCAGCAACAGGCAACTGAATTCAATCGAAACACAAGGAGTTGCCCTATAAAGGATTAAAGCAGAGATATCTTCTTATTTCCTTATAAATGTGTTTTTTATTAATCTAATGGGAATAACTGTTGATTCCGCTCCAGCTGTTTTCCTCCGGAGATAAAAAGCGTCTCCTTGTCTTCTGATAAGGCGCCGCCAGTGAACGTTGTTGCTCTTTTCCTAAGTTCTGATTCAGATTTTATAGAAAACTGTAATTTTAACTTAAATTAGGTCAAAAATGTGTAAAATTCCTAAATTCTGAATGTATATTGACCTAATAAGACATAGAATTATAATTAAACATAATTGAATAGAAATTTCACTTCATGCAGCGATATTAATATATATGATCCCCTTGCCCTGGTTCCAGACAGGGGCCAACGGGGGCCAGGGCCCCTGGACTAAAAACATAATGATGATATACACTGGAACAGACATGGTTACTGGTCATTTGGATCTATTTCATTCTTTTTTCTTTACAAATTCTATTTTACTAATTATTCATAAACAATAAGGTGATCGCTTCAGTGGGATTAAGATCCCAGTTTTTATCTGATAAATTATTTTTTCCCAAACAAATAATAAAAATAAAGCTGAATTTATCAGTTTTTTCTTGAGTTCTTGATAAAACTGTAACTTTAACTTAAATTAAGTCAAAATCAAGTAAAGGGAATTGAAATTTCCCTTCATGCAGCTCTCTATTGCCCTGTTTTTTTATTCCATGCTTTTTTGTCCCCCCATGAAAACAGGCTGGCCCCCCTCCTGGCCCCCTGGTGGTTGAACCACTGCCCCCCCACCCCCATCGGGATGCGCTGACCTCATGCATGGATCCAAGCAGAAATCCCAGTAAGAAAGAGCGACAGGGGGAGAGAAAGGAGTTTAGAAAAGACCTGCAGCAGAAGGAGCGACTCTGACTAGAAGCGCCTCTGAAGTTCAGCAGAAACAGAATCTGAGGATCATTTTCTAAAAACCGCTTCTAGGTAAGATGATCTTATCTTAGTGGATTCATTGAAAAGTTTTTTATTATTTTAATGAGTTTTATTCATGTGACCCCCCCCTCCTCCTCCTGCAGCCACAGACCGACCATGATCCGGGTTCTGGACGCCGTCCTGCCGGCGCTGCTCGCCGCCTCCCTGCTGTGGCGCAGCGCGTCCGGCGGCTACGGGATGATGAGCCTGTTCGCGGCGCAGACCGCCCCCCCGGACCCCTGCTACGACGAGCACGGGAACCCGCGGCGCTGCATCCCGGACTTCGTCAACGCCGCCTTCGGGAAGGAGGTGAAGGTGTCCAGCACCTGCGGCAGGACGCCGAGCCGCTTCTGCGTGGTGACCTCCGCGGAGAAAGGAGAGCAGGAGCGGAGCCGCGACTGTCACACCTGCGACGCGTCCGACCCCAAGCGGGGCCACCCTCCCGCATACCTGACGGACCTCAACAACCCGCACAACCTCACCTGCTGGCAGTCCGACAACTTCGTCCAGTTCCCGCAGAACGTCACCCTGAGTCTGTCCCTGGGGAAGAAGTTTGAGGTGACCTACGTCAGCCTGCAGTTCTGCTCCCCGCGCCCCGAGTCCATGCTCATCTCCAAGTCCATGGACTACGGGAAAACCTGGGTGCCCTTCCAGTTCTACTCCACGCAGTGCAGGAAGATGTACAACAAGCCCAACAGGGCGGCGATCACCAAGCAGAACGAGCAGGAGGCCGTTTGCACGGACTCCCACACCGACATGTTCCCGCTGAGCGGCGGCCTCATCGCCTTCAGCACGCTGGACGGCCGCCCGTCCGCGCACGACTTCGACAGCTCCCCGGTGCTGCAGGACTGGGTCACGGCCACGGACATCAGAATCACCTTCAGCCGCCTGCACACGTTCGGCGACGAGAACGAGGACGACTCGGAGCTGGCGCGGGACTCCTACTTCTACTCCGTGTCGGACCTGCAGGTCGGCGGCCGCTGCAAGTGCAACGGGCACGCGTCCCGCTGCGTCAAGGACCGGGACGGCAGCCTGGTGTGCGAGTGCAAGCACAACACCGCGGGGCCGGAGTGCGACAGGTGCAAACCCTTCCACTACGACAGGCCGTGGCAGAGAGCCACGGCGCGCGAGGCCAACGAGTGCGTGGGTGAGTCTGTGCGCGCGGCTGGATGAGCGCATCTTTATTATCATAATAATAATAATGAAAGATATTAAAGTGTCAAAAGATGGAGAAAGGTAGAAAATGCATCTAGAACTCACAAAAAGCTCACTTTAAAAGTCTATTTAGGTTCTTTTTGTTCCTTTTTTAAATATATTTTTATTAGAAAATTCTTTATAATACAGAAAGATAATAACTGCAATTTAACAATAACCACAAAAATAATAATACATTAAAAATAACTGAATAAAAGTAAAAATAGTAAAGCTGCACATAGAAGCATGTAAAGGGATTATATAAATACTTGAAGTTTTAACAGCCTTTTTATTATTGGAGGAGAAGAGAGACATGAGGGTTTAATCAGAATAATTTAACATTTTAGGGTATAAAACTTGGCCAACAGTAGAAAAAGATTAAATGGTCAGAAAGTTCAGTTTTATTTTTGTGATTCCAAATAAAACATTTTTAAAATAAAGTTAAAATTGGTCATAAATATTGTCCCGAATGAAGCGACAGACAGCTTGCCATAGCCGCCAGGTGTGCTCACAGAACAGGTGAGAAACAGACTGAGAGTAAATGTTGCAGAAAGAGCAGCTTTTATCTTTAAGTCCATTTGCGTTTTTAGGCCAGTTTCCGGGGAGCTGAAGAAAATCCCTCATTTGAATCAAAGAATCCCTAAAATATGAGCTGTTTTTATACTTTATGCGCTTTTTAAAATAGAAAAAAACCCAAAAAATGAGACATCTTAAAAACTAAATTTAGAGGCTGAGGTAGAAAATGCATCTAGAATTCACAAAAAAGCTCACTTTAAAAGTCTATTTAGGTGTTTTTTATTCTTTTCAAATACACTTTATTTTAGTACAATTTAATTATCACCACAAAAATAATAATAATACATTAAAAATAACCGAATAAAAGTAAAATAGTGTTTAATAAAGTTTATAAAGGGATTATATAATTACTTTGAATTTAGAGAATTAAGTTTTAACAGCCTGTTTGTTATTGGAGGAGAACGATGAAGAAACATAAGTTATTGTTTCCTTTAAAAAAGAGAAACATGAGGGTTTAATCAGAATAATTTTATATCTGTGGATATAAAACTTGTCCAAAAATAGCAAAAGATTAGATAAGATTAAATGGTCAGAATGTTCTTTTTTTAATAGATATTTTGTGATTCCAAAAAAGAAAAAGAATCCTCCTTTAAATAAAGTTGGAATTTGTTCTAAATATTGTCCAGAGTGACGAACAGCTTGCCGTAGCTGCCAGGTTCACTCACAGAACCAAAACAGGTAAATGTTGCAGAAACAGCAGCTTTTATTTAGTCCAAAGGCGTTTTTAGCCCATTTTCAGGGAGCTGAAGAAATCCTAAAATTAAAGTTTTTGTACTGTATGCGCTTTTTAAAATACACAAATAAAAAAAAGAGAAACTAGGACATCTTTAAAACTTTACATTAATTAATTAAAAAACATATTTAACCTCTTCAATTATTTTCTAGTTTAACAGAAAAAATAATAATAAACAAAAAAGACAAGTAAACCAGCCTGATGGAGCTCCTTAACTAAAAGGCTTTGAGGGAAACGATGCATTCAGGGGTTTCTGAAACGTTCAGTCAGATTTCTGCACCTACTGATGGTGTGTTGGTGAAAAGTTCACCAGTGAGGTGCTTTAATGCCACCACTTAATATCAATATTTAATCTAATCATTAGTAAATCGTTTTTTTATTTATTTCCGTTACTCATTTTTAAGATTTATAAACCATTTTATGATTACCAGCCTAAAGATGGAGAGGTGCGCTGGAAAAAAATTTAATCTAGATAAGTTATTTTTTCCTAAAATAAGTGCATTTGCTCTTGGATTGAGGAGGTAAAAGATATATTTTGCCAATGGAACAAGACGATTTACATTTAAAATAAGAAAACACAATTGCATTGTCTTATTTTAAGTGCATTTAATCTAAATAACTTCTTTTAAGAGTAAAAATACTTATTCCATTGGCAAAGCATTTCATTTACCCACTCAAATTAAGAGTAAATACACTTAATTTAAGAAATGTTTACTTATTTCTAGATCTTTTTTACAGTGTGTAGAAGGAGGAGCAGAGGAGCAAAGGGAAAGGAAAGGAAGAATAGCAGCAGAAAAACATTTCATTCAGACAATTATTTTATATTCATCATGGAAACCATTTTGGCACAAAAGAGAAAACTCATTTCATGAAAACTGATTGAAAGGTTTGCATGAAATTAGTTGATTTAAAAGCTTCTTGCTTTGCTCGTTTGGCTCACCTCTCAGATACGATGCGTTAGGGAATGATGGAGTCAGTCGTTAGTAAAACGCACTGAACAAGTTTCAGAAATCTGAGTAGAAAAGAGCGAAATGAGTCTTGGTTTGTGGGCACACAGCTCTCTGGGTGCTCAGCAGCCCTCAACATCTGCTCCTAGAACCGCCCCTGTTAATGAACTTTTTATATTTAATCAAAAAGGACTTTACTGGGTAACACACTGCAAAAAGTCTAAATGAGTCATTTTTTATTAAAGCAAATGCATTTGTTCTTAAATTAAGGAGGTAAGTGAGACAATTTACAAATTCAACAAGATGATTTACATTTAAAATTAGAGAAAACAATTACATTGTCTTATTTTAAGTGCAATTTAAGAGTAAAAATACTAATTTCATTGGCAAATCATCTTATTAAGATACTCAAATTAAAGGTAAATACACTTAATTTAATACATTTTTGACTTGTCTTTAGATTGTTTTTGCAGTGTAGCGGTGATTGATCTTAAAGGAAAACTCTTTGAACTTGTTTATTAGTAAATATTTATATTATTTGGTGGAGAAGTTTGATTCCAGCATTTTTCTGAGACCAGATCAGGCAGAAATGACCTCAGGATCTATTTATTTGGATTAAAGGGAACCGTCATGGCTGATGACCAATATCTCCACCAACAGAAACCAAACTATTTAGATTTATTTGATTCATTCAACATTTAAAAAATTAAATGATATTAATAAAATCAGCAACAAATAAAAAAAATGCCTAATTTTCTTGTCTTATCAGTGAATATTGTCTTTATCGTGACTTTATAATGGGATGATAAAAAGTTGTTAGTAAACTTATCTGATTTTTCTTCACAAAAAATGCATCTAGATGCTGTTTGTTGAAAAAAAGTGGACAGATTTAAAAAAAAGTCTATTTTTAGTGAATGAAATAAAAGAAAATGTCAGATTTTCTGACATATTTCAGCCGATATTTCAGTCTGCGTTTGATCCGTGCAGCTAGTCAGATATTACTGTGACACAAAACTGGACAAACAAACATGAAAGCTGGTGTATCTCAATTTCTGCATCCTCAAAGACCGATTCTATAAATTTTAGATCTTTGTTTGAGTCAAAGATGTAAAATGTTTAGAAATATTAAGTGGATGAACAGTTCCTGTGGTTTATTCTACAAAGCAGCAGAACTGATCATTCTGGCTCTTTTTTATTCACAGTAAATTAAAAATGTAGTGTCAAAGTAAATTGACTCTTTTATAGTTATTATAACAACTGGAGGTAGATCTACACCATGTAGAGAGTAAATCTAATGCTAATTCAGAGTGGGACCAAATGCACTGAGGTTGGTGTTAAATTTTACGTCAGTGGAGGTTTTAGACCAAATGTAGCAGGAAGCAGGCTGGGACTGGTGATCTGTGATACCGGGTTACGGTTAGGCTTAGGGTTAGGCTTAGGCTTAGGGTTAGGTTTAGGTGTAGGGTTAAGGTTAGGGTCCACCATTTGATCGGTGGGCTGGTCCTAATTTCAGCGTGCGAGGGCCGGTCCTCCTTAAATCATAGCGGCTCCAACATTTCCTCCCCGGCTGAAGCTCCTACCTGTGACAGTAAATAACTGAAGGAGCTGAAGCAGTGATCCAATGTTACCTCCCTAAATGATGCATGCAGATGTTAAAGTCTAAATCACCAATGATTTATTGTTCTGTAGGTGTCAGACATAAATATCTTGAAATGTAATTTCAGTAAAATCATTTGGCTCAGTAGCTTAAAGAAAACAGATACACTTTGTTTGTTTTTTTCCAGGAGGGTCTGTGTCTTTAAATATTTGTTTTCAAAGCAGTTTGATTGCTTTGAATTTGTTATTTACTACACCGTTCAAACGTTTTGGGTCACATTGAATTTTTTTTTGAAGGAAAAGCACTGTACTTTTCAATGAAGATCACTTTAAATGATCCCACTGACTCGAAATGACCTGTGGAACGTCTTCCTGCAGCCAGAAAACTGCTGGTTTTAGCAGCCGAATGCTGCAAAGGGAGACATTTTAACTGCGTGTTTCTGTGGGGGTGGGGAGTACCAACATGGCGGACGGTGGCTTCACTTTATTCGGCCAATCAGCAATCCAGTGAATAAATAGAGATCAGTGGAGTAGACATGGTTTTCGTCTAGATAAATCACCTCAGCTTCTCCGTCATTATTAAATGTTGTCCAGTATGGTTAGAATAAAAAAAGATTACTTATGATTTTTAAAACTTTCTGCAAAATTAAAAGTAAAGCAAATAAATAGCAATGTGTAAATGAATCAAACATTAATCAAACATTCACTTCCTGTTTTCCACAGAGAAAACATGAACATGTTGAAGAAAATCACACAAAGTTTCCCATTTTAGAGCAGATTTTCCTGCTTCTGTTTTTTCACCAGCAGTTGTTGCATCACCTGCTGATACGTGACGCCGTTACATTCTGTCACGTTTTTAAACCGAGGAGGAAAAAACACGGAAAAGTTGCACCAGACTTCTTTTAAAACGCTGCGTTCCTGCTTTGGGTTTTGTGGCACTTTGCTGATTTCCTCCACCGGGACCTTAGAGGTCATTTAACCGTTCTTCTGCCTGCATCTCAATCCATTTGGCTTATTGACTCTCTGCAGCAAAGCAATGTCTCCCGGGGCAACCAGTTTAGCTGCAGCACAGGCAGGAGGAGGGAAATTATTATGGCTGCA